TTAGAGTTGAAGAATCGAAAAGTGGATTTCCATTTTTTACATATTCAGATCAATCACACCAGATAATTTTCTCTTGTAAAATTCCTACCCAAAGATGTGCTTTTTTGATCCCCAAACGACGCCCCTAGGGATGTGGTAAAGCTCATTAGAAATTCTGTAGAAAATTCAAATTAGCCCATTGCGTAAAGACGTGGTCTGGGTAAATGTAACATCTAAAACGACGGTTTTAGAGATGTTTTAAATGTCGGGGCTATTTATCAAACCTAGCTCATTAAATTTTATACGAAAATTAACTAAAAATACTGTAGTTGAAGCGTGTTAGTGAAGGAATTTCGGAAATGAAATTATTATGGTGGTAACGCAACCATAAACGATGTGTTTTGGGAATAGAAGTTTTGGTGTGTTTTTTAAAGACAAGTACCTTACAATTTGGAAATAACTTGAAATAATGTAGAAAGTCCAAACTGTCCAAAATCGTTAGTAACTTGAACACAAGATGTGGTTTTGGCAAGCATATTACACCCAAAACAATGTTAGGGACTTTACAAGTTTGGTGTTGCTGTTTTCATGACGCAGCATCTTACAATTTATATGAAAATGAAATACACTTTCGCTTGCCAGTTATTAGATAAGAGGTAAGGCGGATTGACCTTTATGGCTTTAAACGTCACAAATGCCGCTGCTTAGTGACGAGGGCTGATCGTTGTTAACAATTTTTCTATTGGACCGATTTTGTTTGTTCATCCTTTGGTCGACTCAGGGTTTTGTGTTCTTTTTTTACTAAAGAAGTTTTATTCATAAAATATGACCCGTTTTCGAGTTTTAAGCGAAAAACTGAAAAAAGTCCAAACATTTTGAGGGTTTTTGGCTGCCAAAAGCTGTGCCATGAAAAAATTGGTGTGCACTCTTCAAATCCTTGTTATTTGGACCTAAATGGACCATTTAAAACAATAAAATCTTCTACGCCACCTTTTGCAGGTCAAAATTATCTGCATACTGGACTAACTATACTAATAGGTCGTATATCTTTTAGCTCAGTTAATTCACGAGTTTTTGGGATAGGTATAACAATATAGGTGTCTTCCAAGCTGAAGGAAAAATATTGTGCCATAGACAGTAATTGAGTACGCGAATTAAATATGGCAAACTGTATCGAACACATAAATGTATAGTCAATATACTCATTCCGTCTGAACCAACAACTGCGTACTTATTTGCGAAATTATTTTAGAAACTAAGGTTTCATCAAATCAAATGAGTTAATAAAGAAGCTATTGATTGCATCTGCATTACTTGTATTATCCGACAGGTTTATATAGTTTCTGGATGACGTTAGATTGAACTTTTTTATTTCCTAGACTTTCCTAAACTTTTAGAATTTTTGTTGCGGAAAATTAAATCGTAGTACGCTCTTTTGCCCTTACTTATTGCGGCATTAACATTGTTTGCAAGTGTGCCAATCGACTACAAACCTACTTCGTTTATATTACCTTAACGCAGTGTTCCTTATTTTCATTTCGCGGAGGTTGGACCTGGTAAGACGGTAAGTTTTTATTAGGTAGAATTTTTAAATTGGTTTTAAGAAATCCACTTTTCTGGTAGTATCATTTAATTGAAAAATAGATTGCCAGGGAAAAGCACGTTAGCAATCGTAAAATTGTTATTAAGCAAAGTTGTTGAAATCATGAAAATATGCATCTTGCCATTTCGCCGCTGGTAAAGGTTTGTAAATTCTTTTAAGAATTGCAACAACCATTCGGAGTCCACGGCCTCAAATGCATTCTGCTCGGCCACCATCTAAAGTGGAATTTGATGACAATGTTCCATCCAGCTCACAGTCAATTACTACCTCTGACCGCGAGTTTGTTTGCGCTGAGTTTTCGACTCCGTATAAAATAACGAAATCTGAATTCAACGACCTTACTAGAGGTTTGAAACTGCTAAAAGATAAAGCCCAGATTTTGGCGTCAAGATTAAACCATTTAGATTCTAACGTCTCAGTTTCATGTTTTCGCATACGATCGAATTCCAAAAACAGAAAGTCAGATTACGGTGTGAACCAAGGTTAAAGAGTTAATGGAAGAAATCAAAATTCGCTAAAGTCCTGAAAACTGGAGACTTTTCATAGATTCTGTGAAAACTAGCTTAAACACTGTTTTATTGTACCTATATTGGGAACAAGCTGCCGTCTATACCTGTCGCATATGCAACTAATATAAAAGAAACTCTTCAAAATAATAACAATTATTGCAATATAAAGCGGGAGTGAAACGAGTACTAACACATTTCAAGTCTAGCAGTTACGCTTTAATAATCAATTATGACGGAATTCTTAAAATATTTTAGTAATGTAGACGATATTTGTGCAAATACCATAAAGTGGTACCTACATCATAATAATTATTATTCTGCTGTACGATCGAGATAGGGATCAAAGTTAATATTTCCATAACTTGCAAGGGGAACGTGGGCGTTTATAGATACGCTTTAAATTTTAAAGAAAATTAAGATTCGATTTCAGCGTTTGATGTACCTGTATGTGTATCTTCTGACAAAGCTTGAAACCGCATTGTTACCCATAACAGAAGCGCAAATTGCCTTACCCTTTTGATCGTTGTAAAATTTGCAAGCACTTTATTTTCGTCGTGATCTAGCTAAGGGAAAGCTTTGTAACCGAAGATACCCTCAGTTTAGTAAAGTAGGTTAGATATTCCCTTACAACGTGTTTTAATATAATGTTCGACAGCAGAGCTTTTCTCTAAAAATATGAAACTTGTTTATGGGTTTCATATTTCGCAAATGTGACATTGATAAATGCTTATAAAAGTGTTATTATCCTTGAAGGTGTACGCTTTTAGCTAAAAATCTATATTACTAATTAATTAGGGAAATGAACAATAATACGTTAGGGATAGAGAGCGCGTGAGAAAATTTTAATTATAGAATACTAACTCTACTGGGCTTGTGAAGTATCTAATGCTCTTTCTGTCAAATGAAATGGGATAAATTACAATGAAATTTTTGGTGGTTAGATTATCGCGTCAGTGTACTGACAGGAGTTTTTATTTATTATACGAATTCCTTTGTATTCCGACCCTAAAATGCTTTCACTATATTTATGCGAATAATCGATGAAATATGAGTCCACCCCATCACCGTGTTAATGTTATCTATAATGTAACGTGTTTTGAAAAGTGATTTGATGGTAACGATGGCACCTTCACCTATAAGGGATTTCGCAACTTTTACATCCATTAATTTTACTCTGGAACATCCATAACATGCAGTACCACTTCATTTTCTCTGATTTCCCACTCTTTTCATTTGTGCAGGTGTCTTTCATGTTTTACGCTCCTGATGAGATCAATTCTTAAGTAATCTTATTTGAAATGAGCTGGTAAACATGCGCATTTCCAGGGGCCGACTGGCGCGGGGGGGGGGGGCGATTGCCACCTAGCCTGTAGATCATAATGGCCCGTTGGAAATTTATAAGTATGTGCTGTATTTAGTTTCTTGCACTATTAATAAATTATTAACACGTTTCTCTAATTGGGGTTGATGTTAGGTTGTTACAAAATTCTGTTTTAATTGAAGTGTTTTACAATGAAAGTGCTGAAATACAATGATAGGCGACGCACCTCGTGTGGATTGTATATTTTGTTACTTTTAATTATCAGCTGCAATTTTAAAAAAAACTGTATGGTAATTTATTTTCGAGAAAGGAGTACTTTAAAATGTTTTTGTGGTGCACCTCAGAGCTAAACGCCTCTATTCGAATTCGAAAAGGGGAATTTTGGAAAACCGCTCCCCTAGATCCGCATGCAAATCGCCGAGGCCTTATTTAAGATATTTCCTTCATGTTTACGTCATTTTATGATAATTAGCCAGTACTGACAACACCACTGTATGACTAGTCATGTATTTTTTGATGACAAATAAACTATTTATCTATCTAATTGTAATTTGATGTTAATCTATCAACTCCATACTACAATCTAATAATTTCGTTTCTACATCTAAACTTTTGCACGCGAGATTTCGTATCTTTAATTAGTCCGCAGTGTTGGTCTTGAAATTGATCTGAAGTTTGTGTTCGTTCTTTTGCTATAATTATATAATTCTGAAAGCACAATCAAAGTGGGTCACTTTATCTGAAGCCCTCTTTACATTGTCAGTCCTTTTTCAGCTTGACCGCTCACTTTCACTTCCTTCAAATTTACAATCCCTTAAATTTCCCTTCGTTCCATCATGTCGATATAATCAAGTAGAAATGAGTAAATATAAGTAAATATAAGATAATTATAAGCTCAGATGTTGCTTTATCTAATTTATACACCTTTGTTGGGCAAGACATCGCCTGCGGACCTCTTTATTTCTGGCATGTCGCAACTTCTGAACAAAATTAATTTATTAATTACTTGTTTCGTGTGATTTTTGTATGTGGATTTGGATACCTATGTTTCCATATTCAACAATCTTTAAATAAATTAATAAAATGGAATTTGATTACCGCTCCTGAGCTTGGCAGTAAAAGTATGAGCTCAAAAATCGTTAAATCTTTTGAGCTCTTTGATAGCATCATTTTTAATTTTTGCTTCAGTAGTTATATAAAAAAAATTTTGACCATTTGAAGTATAGGTATGCATATTTATGAACTCGTCATGAGCTTGTCGGCGCACTTATTGTCAATATTTGACTCTGGTTATTTTACAAATCCAATTAATATGAATCTTGATAATTTCACGTATGAATATTTCGCCCATACGCAAGCACCATCATCAAATACCCTTTTCCAGACTTTCCTTTTGTTTCCTACATTCGAAAGATTCTTTCAGCTCAATTGACGGTTATTCGGAATATAAATGTTGCCACTGAATATTTCTAAAAAAAACTTATGTGTGGTGCAGATATATATAATTATTACGGAGAAAATTTTTGAGTGCAGGGATTCCCGTTAAGTAAAAAATATTATTTTCTAAAATGATTTTCTTTTGTTGCAGGTAAGCGAACTCCATAAAGGTATAATACTTGGAGATTTTGAGCCATCCTTAGGACTTCTGACACAAAAGGTTGGTGTGTATTCACGGTATATGATTATGAATGAATGTTAAGCACGTGTAGTAAAAATATTTGTATTTTTCCAATATAAACATCATAACACTAATTGATAAGTCGCCGAATCTTCGAGTTCGGATTCACAAATACTATACTGACGCGATAAGTGTCAGCAAATCAATTTTTTCCAAAGAAAGGGGTGGAAATAGCAAATAGGCATAAACACATAACTATGGGGATCTTATGGTCACTTATTAGACACACAGATTCCATCCCTCCTACAAAAATTAGGGAATCGCCTGATTCTTCGAGCTCTGATCGTGATCAACATTTTTCTTAAACAAATGATTGTTTGCGTACCTTCGCAAAGTGATTTGCGGTCTTTGCAAAAAAAAAAACGAGTCTATTAAACGGTTAGAAATCGGAATTAGTCCAATTAGAGGAAATTAAATTACCTTTTTAAATAATAGATAGGTACGTAATTTGTAGTTTGTTTAATTGCTGAATTTCTCCAGAAATAACTAAATTACAGGAAGTCGTAAAAAAAGGTAAATAATTGTAAGAGGAAGTATTCGTAATAATAAGTTTCCCTTTTGGAAATTCCAATAACATAACAAAATAACATTTTATATTATTCATTGATAATTCCATACATACAGTATTCTAGGTGGTCATCCGAGACTATTAGGAATTGTATATTAGGCCAAAAATGTTTGGATGGCGAAACGCCACGAATTTACAATTAAAATATCTGCAGAGTGGTGAATCGAGAGGTGGTCAAAAAGGTAATGTATCGTTTGTCATAATAAGACAAAAATTGCGTAATCGTTGGATAAAAGTAAGTAATATCACAGATTTTATTGCATTTCTTCTTCACACCACGATGAATGGAATTTTAATTATCCCTAATGAGATCCTCTTACAGGCTTGAATTGCAAAATCAATATTCTACCTATTAAATGCAGTGGCCTAAGTATAAGGATACCACCTTTTGATGTATTCCAGGTACCTCTCCATAAATCTGATAACAACGAATGTCGGGTAAATTCACATTGCTCTGTATAGTGTATATATATGTATGAAATAGATTCGGTAAAGTCTTTGATGCAGTTGATTACATGAGGGTATTAGTAATGTCATCATTTACGTTTGCCGGAGGGTCACATAATCAGGGCCATAAACCAAACATTACCGTTCTATACGTTATAATATGACATCACCGTACTTTGGGCAATAAAGAAGCGTTACACAAGGTATATTTGTATTACAATATGTAATGTTAGATTTTTTACTATTATCAGGGGTTTATGAAGTACATCATCGTATATGTTTTAACAACAAAAATCTCAATCATCCTTTATAAAATATACGCGAAGCAAAGATCATTGATCTTGATGAGCATTCCAGTTTTTTCACTATTTAGTACCTGACACAATTGCGAGACTTTCAGCTGACGACTGGCAAAAAATTAGTAACAACAAATTAATTATTATAGGTATATTAATGTCCAGATTTGCGATTTCGCATGATGTTCCTAATGCATATATTCTATGCAATACAAAAGTATTACCCCTTATAAAAAATAGCTCCACTTGACACGAAAAATAAAAACAAAACGAGATACGACGAATCCCATAGGTACGTTTTTAAAAGGTGAATTTTTCGTCTGGCTGATGGGATGTCGCCTTATGAAACATGCTTCCGTATTTCATGCTCATCTCTGTAACGAGTTAGAATTTGATTATGAAATTTTATGCTTAAATCACTCCAAGTCCTGTGTAAAAATAGGTATTATTTTTAACATTTGAAAGCAATAAAAGGTATCCAAATAGACACGTAGCGTACGCATTTCGTATACTGATACTTCCTTTCCAGTCCAAAACTGAAGTCAAAATTATTTAATGTTTGTATTCTCGTTAAGGCATGAAATGTCTATAAGGGCTATTAAAATCAAAAAAACAAATTTGAAAGTGCACTTTTGGCCTCTTGCTCAGAAGCGGCTTAAAGAATTTTTTTAACTTGTCTTATTTTGCCATCTGCGATTACACCTACTAGTATTTTATTTTCTAGGAGAATAACAGATATTTTGACAAAAATAAGTAAATCATTGTATTCCAAATTAATGAACAAATCAGTATTCTGTCATCTAATGCCACTAATTAACATGTAATTAAATAGTAAATCCATATAAGGGATAAATCTATGTACTTTATTACATTATCCTTAAATTAAAAGGGTGATACAGTTTTTAGAAGATTCTGATGGTGATGGTAAAAAGAATAACACGCACTGAAAATTGTTTGCCATTCGCGTGAATCCGACAGCTTTACCATTTGTTTGATTAAGGTAGTTTAATGAATTATAATACTTAGAGTAGAGCAAAGAATATAATCTGCAGTGTTTGGCCGACACAAAAAAAGAAGAAAATATTTGATTTATCCTCTAGCAAAAAATTATGAATCCGTTAATCCTTAATAACTTGCTATTATACCTGTAATTATGTGCATGATTTTTCTGTAGTTTGTCTTCACGTAACAATTCCGTTCGCTCCTCCTCGAATTGTTCGTTAAGATCGATCAATGTCTAAAAATTCAAGTCACAAGTCGCTACATCACAAAACCACTAACCTTATGTTTTTCCGCCCAAGAAATGTTTTTATTGTCATTTTCCTTGTATGGATCGTCGTCGGGGTTAACGATGTCAGGATCACCGTCTTCAGTATCGACTAAAAGTGATTCGCTAGAAGTAGAAATTCACTACTATTTAGGAGATCTCTGTAAATGCATTTTTAAATTAATTTGCCGAAATCACATCAGACAAACACACCATTGCGCAAATATAGTACATACAAATCTGTGACTCTTTCACTTTCAAAAGGAGGCGATCGTTAGGAAATCAACGCTTTGGTGGTTATTTTCAAACAAAACATGCTTGTCTATCTAGCTATCGTCTTCCTCTATTTCAAGACGCACCTTCAAAGTCCAGTCCAGAAAAAAATAAATCTAATAAAGGAAAAACGAGCATTGCAATTAGACGGAAGATGAGTGTGGACCTTATTAAGAAATTGGCCGAAATCGAGCGAAATCATTCAATCATTTAAAATACGATGAAATTTTCTGCAATCTGTCAAAATCCTATATTTTCGCAATTTTGCCACAATTTTGTTTCCAGTGGTTAGATCCTCGGGCTTACCCCTATAGAAAATACGAGGTACCACAGTAACTTGAAGTTTTTATTGATTTGCATTGATTTTATCATTTAAAAATTATCTCGTGAAATGTGGCAAGTGCGGTTCCTTCAATACCGTTGACTGAAGTGTAGATTTATCTTGACTCAATTTGTGTACTGGATGATTACGGGTAACCTAACTTTGATTGGGTTAATATTCTTCATTTTCTGTGTTGGTTTTATCAGTATTTTAATGGGTATAATTGTCACATTTCAGCATTTGGGAGGGCCAGTTCAAAAGGTATAGATGGTAGTTGTGTTTTAGGAGCAACTAAAACTCGCTCAGCTACATCGTCGATGGCATTTTACATTCAAAGAAGTTAAGAATTTAAAAAAAAAAACAAGGAAACCCGATATGTAGACCACATAAGCTCTGAAAATGTCTACCATGGGTTATTTAGTTACAAGCACCATAAACCAAACTACGCTATTTTTTGTCCTTTTATGCTTCAATCTTTACGACAGAGTGACTACTATAATACCCAAACTTGAGGCTTTTCTTGTGTCTCGAGATTCATAAAGAGACCTGCGGGAACAAGTAGGGTATCTGTATATTGTCGATACTTCCGAAACGCTTCTGTCAAAGTCGATACTTCTTAAGTTCTTACTTTCAAATCTTTCCCCTTAATCTCTCTGACGCTGGTAACTCTTAACAAGTTCCGATTAGAATAAGGAATAATTTTCTTTAAAGTTTAAAAGTACTTATGTCTGTACCAATTTAGTGGTGAAAGTAACCCCGTTATAGGAAAAATTAAGGTATCGTGGGTGTTGCCGCGTAACACCACTGTAAATGATGAGTAAGGGGCAAATATAGACCATAGCACCTATCAATTAGCGCAAATCCGAAGTCTCTAGGTGGCCCAAGAGCCGAGATCTCGATGGAACAGACAGGCGACGTACAGAAAGATGAGAGAAAATCAAGCTCCTAAACGTTAAAGAAAGAAAGAAAAATACGTTTCATTGTATAGGACTTGTAGGGCGGAAATAAATTCCTTCCAATAGACGCTTAAGTTAATTTTTTTATGAAAAGTCATAAAGAGATCGCGTTTACAGCAATAAGTTCAAATATGTATGATGTATGACTTTTTTAATACAACAAAAATTTTTTAATTTGCTAGAATTTCTAAAATTAGTTTATTATTGATTGCATTTATTATTCCGTTTCACATAATGAAGGCAGGCATAAAATATTTAGACCTTCTATAAAGTATATGGAATAGTACCTCTATGAGGAGTTGTTTACCCGTTAATAATCCATATCCAAAATTGCATATTACTCATTTCCTAATGCAAAGGCCTATTGAAAGATATTGACATCTTTCAAAGAAATTAAGAACGTACGCTACGTTTATTTTGGGGGTTGTAGGTAACGTGTGAGTTTATTAGAAATATGACTGCAATTATCCTCCATATATACCACTAAAATCGTTTAAAACGAGTTGTCGAATATCATTAGTGTTTACAGGCAAACTGCTAAAAATAGAAACCAATATATTACATAAAGTATTTAACGACGACTCAATCAATGAATGGGGAAAAGCTTTACATCTGGCTTTAAAGAGAGAATATCCTATTCAAAGTTTGCAGCGACGCCGTTTTTTATTAAGAAATATAAAACACATACACATGGCATGCCGAAGTAATGAACAATTTATCTAAAAGCGCTTTTATTATTGAGCGTAAACAAAGACCAATACTTAGCCTTTAATTTAAGTTAATTAAGTTTTATATTACGCCGGTTGCTGTGAATATGCGATTGTTTGTCAAATATTGTTAATCCGTACCA